ACAGATACCTCTATCGCTATATCAGACAATTGAGTTGTATTTCGATTATCAAATGTGCAGTCGATATTAGATGACTGATTATTTCATTACAAACTAATATTTGTTTTTTCTGTCTCATCAACTTCTAGGTGCTATCTGTCCGGCTGCTATTTGGAGTGATATGGAACAAATCGCCGTAAACCTAACTAACATCTCGTTGTTTTATTATTATTATTCCAATGATTTTTATCTCGATACAAAAAATAATTATTTCCTAATTGATGGTAATAACCGTCGTATTATTAAGATTCGAGCAAATGATACGTCAACATTCACTGTGATCGGTGCTCCTAACACATCGATCTCTTACACACCTTACAAGGTGTTCGTTGATTCTAACGGAACTGTTTATTCAGCCGAATCTGGAGTAAGTTTCTTTTTGTCATGCACGTACATCATAAGCAGTAAAAGCTCTTGAGGGTGTGGGTATGGGTGTGGTTGAGTGTGTCAATCTTTCACACCCACACCTACACTCACACCCACACCCTATTAACCCTCTTAGCAAATACAGAAGATTATAAACTTATTTTTTAATAATCTAATGGAAATAATATAATTTTATTCTGTTGTAAGTATGGTAGCGGGATTTATGGATACAACAACTATTACCGAGTAGTACAATATGTGGAGGGCAACGGTACAGATGGCACTGTGTTATTCGGAGATGTGACATGTGGCAATCAAATGAATCAGGTGTGCCAGTGTGGTGGTCTTTTTGTTGATCGACAAGGTTTCATCTACTACTCTGATCCAAATAATTATCGTGTTGTAAAAATCACACCTTTTACAATGATGCTGACAGTTGTGGCTGGTACTGGAGGTAACGGAACGGCCGGATCGAATCTCGATCAACTCAGCAATCCAGGTGGTATATACGTTGACACAAATAATACTTTATACGTGGCGGATACCAGTAACAAGTAAGTCGGAATCTGTCGTTTAATGTATTCATCATTTTCGTGAGCCACGAAAAGTCATTTTTTACGTAAATAAAACTATTCAAGAATAGGAGTGTACCAGTTCTTTGTCGGGAGTCTGCACTAACTGATTCTACTAGTTTTTTTATCGAACGGAATTGAACTTAGACAATAGATCCATATTCGCGAGGAATAGTTGGCTCATTTAAGGAGAACCTAACATACTCCTATTCAGCAGAATGCAATAATATAGTTCCAGTCATTACCACATGTTGAAGATACCCTCCTCAATTCTATAAACTCCGTTTTCAACTTATAACGTTATGATTAAACACTGACCACTTGATGAATACTATGTTTTGTTTTAGTCGAGTGATGATGTATTTATCTGGTAGTTCACAAGGTACGGTTCTCTTCACAGTTCGATCTTTATATGCATCTTATCGGCTAACATTGGACAAATCAGGAAATATCTATGTCTTGGCAAGCAGTACCATTTATCGATTCGTTCGTCCAGCTGGCTTTTTAAAAACCATAGTCTCTAACGGTGCATTTTCCAGTGGAATGGGTGGATATTCAAATATACAACTAGATACGGCCGGTAATATCTACACATACATCACTCAATCGATGTATTATACCGATACCGGTATTTGGAAATACAGTCTCATATCCGCCGAATGTTAACATATACCAGTTCTTTCGGAAATGTACTGCTCGTAGTGTTAATGGCTACTGTGTGATGCGTGTGTGTGTGTGTGTTCCTTCCATTTTAGATTCCAGATCCCGGACTTTTACTTTTTCTAATCAAATTGTTTGTACTCCCAGTTTTCCTGCATCTGTAGTTGTCACTCTTGTGTTCTTTATGCTTTTCAGTAATTCATTTAGTTAGAATTGTTCATTGTCATCTCAGTGTAATAATTCTAATCTTTCAATAGAATTTCAATGAAATGGGTGTGGGTGTATATATGGTATAAATATGATACTCACACCCTCAAGATTTTTTTATCTTGAATTAATAACATTAATTGAAACATATGATGATAAAATGAATTTAACAATATCTGTCAGATGATTAGAAATAAGAGAATTTGGTATTTATCAAAATTTTATTTTTAATTTTGATCGGTTACTTAAATAACAACTGAAATTCTTAACACATTTAATAATTGATGTTGATTCTTATGAACGAAGGACACATCAATATAAAAATATTGATGCAACTTGTATTTTTCAACATATTCGAAGTCTGATTACACATCTTTATCTTTTTATTGATGAACAAAATTCGCATATGAAAATATATCTTAAACAATTTTCACATTGTCTTATTCACTTTACGCTTAATTTTTTCGAAGGTAAAACAAAAGAACTCTAGTAAAATTAATGAATATAATTGTACCCTATCAGTCTCTTGAAGAATGTCTCATTGATGTAGATGTATTAATTCATTCAACTTTACAAGCAACTGACAATAATGATTTAACTAATGAGAATCGATGGAAGACTTAATTTCTTCTAAAAATGAAATCTTATTAAAGTTAAGTTTGAATTTCAACTTTTAACTTATTATCTTCAATTAGTATTACTCGAATCATTTCGTTCGAATTTTTTGATTAAACAAAAATTTTTGTTCAAAATATTATTCAATAAATATTCTGAAAACTACTTTAGCAAACAATAAATACATGATTCAATTCTTCTGAAATGATGTATAGTAATTAAAAGAATGAAATCCTATTGAAACATGACGGACGCGCGAATAAAATCGACCGAAAAGGAAAGAAAAAAGAGCGCAGTCTATATAATTGAATTCTTTGCTTGAATATCATTTAAGTAGACACATGGCTACTATGAAACGAAGTTTAACTTTTAAAGAACTGTCTGAAGAAAATCCAAAGAAATTACGAAGTAAATTCATTTGATTATAATAATATCTGAATTATTTTTTAATAGAAGGTGAATTAAATTCTATTGAAAATTTGTCGAATGAAATCTTCTATGAAATATTTGATTATCTTGATGGTTTGGACATTTGTATAGCATTTTCAAATCTTAATTATCGTTTCCAACAATTACTTATATTTTCATCTTTTCGATATAAAATAAATCTTGATTTTTCCACAAAGAGAGAAAATTTTTTGAATAATTATAAACAAATCCAACATCAAATCTGTTCAATTTCTTTTATAATATCAAAAAAATCTATGAATAAATTATTAATATCATTTCAAATTGATCGTTCATTTAATAATCTACAATCAATTCGTATTGATAATATTCCCAAAGATAAACTTATTTCATTACTTGTTCATTTATCTGAATTACCTTGTGTTCATTCATTAAATATCCAAACAACAGATTCAATTGAAGATTTAAGTCATATTTATCAACTAATATTCTCATTGCCAAAATTAAAATCAAATGAACTTTCTTCACATAGAAATGAAGATTCGATATCAATTCTAATGCCAAATAATAACCAAATAAGTCCAATTGAATATTTAAAAATAGGTCATTGGTATACATTTGATGAATTTAATGCATTAATATCTTATACACCAAATCTTCGTCATCTTAAGCTTTCACATATAAGTAAAGATGAGTCAGATATAGAAGATATGCTACCAGTGAATTTAAATAATCTCATTCATTTATCGATATTTACAGTTCATTTGAACTTTAATAAAGTTGAATTTTTTATTGAAAAAATGAATTCCAAATTAAAAAGTTTACGTGTTATTGCGTATTCAAATCGAGATACAACTTATCTTTATGCTTATCGTTGGGAAAAATTAATCTCACAAAATTTTCCTCAATTAAAAAAATTTTCTTTATGTTTTCGTGAATTAGGATATGGTCGTAATTGTCCGATTTATGATGGAGGATTGAATCAATTCATTTCACCATTTTGGATTCAACGAAATTTGATTTTCGATATAGAGATTTATGAATATAATATTCAATATTATGTCCGTCCATACAAGTACAGATGGTATAATGATATAAATTCTTCTCGTGAACATCCGACTAAATCAACTCAATTGACAATCAAATATGTTTATTCTCGTGAGTCTCCTTTTATTCTATTCAATCAAATTAAACGTATTTTAAATGTCACACAAATTTATCATTTAAATATTGAACAACAAATTTCTAATGAAAGATTAATGCAAATAATACATTTATTACCTAATCTTATCTCAATAAATATATATTCTTTAGAATTTTATCGTGAAATTTCATTTTTAAATCAAGGATATCCTACAACATCTGCATTAGAACATGCAAAAAAAATAAAATATGTTTACTTAGGCACAGCATCTACTATTAAAGATATTTATTTTCTTATGTCATTTTGTCGTCAAATGGAATATCTTAGTGTTGAATGTATAGAAAATATGAATATTCAACTATTTTTAAAAGATATTTTAAAAGAAATTAATCAAAAACATTATGGATATTTACATTTGTTATGTATTTTTATAAGAACAGCAGATGATCAAATGATAAAACAATTAAATCAAATGATTTATGATGAAAAACTTTTATTAGATTATACAATTCATCGACAAACTTATAATATTTACTTGAAATGGAAATAAGTTTTGTTTTTGTTAATAATCTAGAGATAATATTTATAAATAAACTATATTATTATATACACGAAAGAACATCTCATCTTTATTTCTTTTAAAATCATACTGAGTCTACAGCATTAAGGAGATCATTAAAGGAGCAATGCCTTTTGTTAATTATCTTTGTTTGGTTTGTCCTCATCCCAGTCTTGAACGTCAAAATTTTCCAGATATTTTACTTGAACAAATTAAAACATTAATATTACCTCAATATACAGAATTTTTGGATGATGATTATTTTGTTTGGTCTCGATATTTTCCATGTGTAGAACGATTAATTGTTACAAAAAAACCAATTAAAATGACATGTAAATGGTTAATAAAACATACACATCGTTTAAGAAACAGAAATCTCAATGATTTTATTTGTCTAATCAATGACAAATATTTCTTTTCAGTTTGTTTATGGATCGCAGACGATGATGATGATGATGATGATATATGCAAATATTCTGATCAGTAAAATCATATTTATTAATAATATTTTATTTTTACCTAGTTTTCGATAAAAATATAAGGAAACGATCCGCAATGGCAAGTAATGGAATAGATAGAACAATTTAATTTGTAAATTTTGTTTATATATTTCTCATTGATATAGACTATTATTTTTCAGCTTTATTGAAATAAAATTATATATATTTATGTTTCATGTAGATAAACAATAAATAAAAAAATATAATTAAAACAAGGTAGATTTAAATGTTGATAAGGGTGAATGTAGATAAGGATGGATAATACGACAAGATAGGGTGGATTTGGATAAAGAAAAGATCGATCCTCTCTCACACCCACACTCTCAAGATTTCGTTTATTTCTAATATTTTTTACTATTCTATTGAATCGATTTATCAATCATGAATTTATTTTTTTTGCTTATTTCATTTCATTCATTCTATCGATATACACTTTTCACACTTTTCTTTTACCAATGGAAGATTATAAAAAAACACTTTTTCAGGTAGAAATTCAGGGACTTCGTTCATCATACATTGATAATCAACATAATTTTCATAATCGACTTTTGTGCTCTATATTGAAATGGAAATAAACGAGACGAAATTCAGAACATTCATTAGTAAAGTAATTTACAAGAATGACGATGGACACTATTGATACACAGAAGAAAATTATTAGTTTTGTTTTATCCTAATATTTGACAATAGTGTCATCTATGATGAAATAAGATTTTTAATATTTTTTTCAATTTTTTTATAATTAAAATAAATATTTTTTGAATGATTTCATTCATTTGACGTCGTTTGTTTTTCACAATCGAAACAAGTCCGTAACAACTTCAACACATGGGTCTAAATACACTGAAATATACAATTATCATGGTTGAATAGTTTTTTCATATTTTTTTTTATCGTTTGACGTAGGCAAAAATTATTTTCTTGGTAATTATACATTCATTTACCTTTATTCTCTTCTCATTACAAGACGTATCTTTTTATTATTACAAAAACAAGAAGAAAAACTGGCAATGGCAAATAATCTAAACAACAATACATCTTCTGACAATGTGAATCGATTGAAAGAAGTATGAAAAATTTTTCTTTTTCAATCTGTATACTTTTCCTTTTTAGTTAATCAAAGCTAAAATTATATCAAAGGAATATACAATTGATGGTATTCAAATGGATTTGAGTTTTACTAAGCTAAAAGATGATGATTGGCCTGTTGTATTCGAACAAATACAAAATAAAGATTATCCTTTACGAGGTTTATCATTATCATGGGATGAAACTAGTAATAAAATGATCGAGCCTGGTTTTATACAATTTATTAAAATAATTGAAAATCATACAACATTGATTCGTTTCAAATTCTTTTTATATTCCATTTCTGATAATACGAAAACGAATTTTTTATTAGACGCATTAAAAAAAAATCGTTCGATCAAAAATGTATCAGTAGATGCAATCGGCGTTAATCAACAAACAACAAAAGCATTTTCAGAAGTATTGAAAGATAATCAATCGATACTTTCACTCAATTTTTTTAGTATTAATTATGTCGATCCTCGGGAGTAAGTTTGTCTAACGGTTAACTTTGAACAATCTATATTTTTTTAGACCTCCATATCCTATGTTCTATGAATGTGCTACTGATTTATCTCATTCAATACCAACAAGCGTTCTTCAGCGACTTAAAATTGGTGGTATCGATGATAGAAGTTTCAATATATTAATACCATCATTAGTAAAAACGTTACAAGTTCTTGATTTATCGGGAAATGAGTATTTTTCACCAGATATTTCTACCTTTCAATCAAATAATAATACCCTGAAATTATTAATTCTCCATCCTTCCGGATTTGAGAAATTCAAACAATCGAAATTGTCTTCAAAAATTCATGTTGTTAATCGTGATAGTTTTCTAGGCAAATTATTTTCTCACAAAGGTCCTATTTCTATAACACCACATACAATGAATAAAACTGATTGGTCTATATTATTGACGGAATTAACAAATGATATTAATAGTTTACGTGAAGTAGATTTAGATTTGTCTAATGGATGTGATGAAAATTATTTGGAAGATTTATTAGGTGCCCAATCGCAATTGAAGAATTTGAAAATAAATGGTACATCATTAAATCAATCAATTCAAGAAAAATTATTTCAAATATTGAGCAGAAATACATCGATTATTAAATTTGAAATGAATACAAAAATTGAATTAAATATTCTCAAATATTTGATCGATTTTTTGGCAAAAAATAATAACATTGCTCATTTGAAATTTTACGAATGTACAAATCTGGGTAATCAAGAAGCTATTGTGCTAGCTGATGGTTTAAAAATGGCTACGAAGTTGAAAAGTTTTCAAGTGAATAACAGTGACATAGGTAATAGTGGATTTCAAGCTATTCTCTCGTCTTTATCAGATTCATTAATTGTATTACACTTTACACATAGTTGTCTAAATGCAAAAATTTTACCGTGGGTTGAGAGTTTTATTAAAACTCATCCAAAGATTAAAGATATTTCTCTCGAAAATAATCCTATAACTCTTAACAGTGCACCTGAATTAAATGTATCTGGTTTAATTGATCAAATATTAAAAATTACAAATGCAAATCAGTGTAATTGTTATTTGGAAATCTACACAAAGATTCAAGATATAATTGCTGAAACAGAAATTGGTTGCATTTCGTTACCTAGAGAACATAGACGAGATTATGATTTACTCGAATTATACAATGAAATGAAGAAAAATCCAACGAAATATTGGTCAATAAATATGAGATCTAATTCTAATATGTCACTTAATGCATATAATATTTTTCTTGATATTCTTAATTGTGATATTCGTGTTGCTGAACTTTATCTTGGAGAGGATGATATGAACGAAGAAATGCAAAAATATTTCTTCAAAGATTTTCGTGATAATAATACAGTGGAACATTTGGACATATCACAAAATAAACTTTGCAGTCAAGCTATGAAATATATTGGATCTTTTCTAATACATAGCTCCAAAATTTGCGTATTTACATTACGTAAATGTAAAATTGATAGTGAAGGTATTCGTTATTTATGCAAAGGCTTGTCTGAAAGCCGTTTATATAGTTTATCTTTAATCAATAATCCACTTAGTAGTGATTCCTGCGCAAGGATTTTTTCATCTATTCCTCCCTCATTGAAGTCATTATCACTTTGGGGTGATGACATACCTGAATCATCTTTACAAACAATTATTGATTTTTTGAATACAAATAAAACATTAGAAACACTTAATCTGAAGTTCAATCCAGTTTATGATAAGCATGTCGATCAATTAGAACAAATAGCAAAACAAAATGGTATTTGCAAATATGCCACACATCCTGAATAAGAACATTATCTATATAACGCGGCTTAGCTGAGTTAATATGAACTATCACATAACCACTAATTCTTTTTACCTTTTATTCTTTTTTAATACTAACAGAATTCAATATTAATGTAATTTTACAGTACTATTCAAAATTCTTACCGCTAGAAAATAATTACAAATTTGACTTTTCCAGGAATATATGTTCGTTGGCTATACTATACGTTGGCTATATAATATTGACACTACATTTTTGTAACAGAAGCATGGGATGCGCTCGTGCTATTCATCATGAAATAAAGATATCATCAATGGTTAGCTATCTATTACAATATAAATAAATTGAAACAAACAAATTCACTTAAACAGTGAAGAGAAAATGATCGACTATGTGCCACATGGAAATAGAAAAAATCTATATTGCTCAATATATTCGATGTAAGAATTAAATAACCCTCAGTGAAATTGAAGAAAAATTATCTTCTTTCTGCTGCTAGACAAGAATTTTGTCAAAATTAGTGTTTACAACAAGATAATGATCCTAAGCATACTAGCAATATTGCTAAATAATTCATCAACAACAAGGTGCCACAATTATTGACGTGGCCATCCAATAGTCCAGATGTTAATTCTATCGAGAACCTATGGTCGATCGTAAAACGCTAAGTTGAAAAAAAGAAAACCGAAAAATATTGATAAACTAGAGTTTTTTTTATGTGAATTAAGACTTTAAAAATATTGATGTTAATATTGTAGAGAAAATTGTAATGTGGATAAAAAAACGATGTTTGTCTCTTATTGAATCTAAAGGCGAACGAATAAAATATTGAAGTATAGTGTTTAATAGTACTCGACATAGGCTATCAATCAGTAATGGAAACTACTTGAGAGTGACTTATAAATGGGGATATACATACATAACAAGATGTGCAAGTTTTTTTGAATAGTACTGTATAAAATTTCTTTTATTAATTAACTCTGTGTGTGTGTTATATTGTGTTGTACTTTAAAATTTATATGATTTACTGATATCTTTATTGCATTTCTTTCAGACAACTGTATAATGCAGATTATGTACATAAATATTATTTTGTAATGATTGTATCTATCCCTTTTAGAAGAAGAATAATAACGATAGACACAACGTATATGTCATTTTCTATTACAATTGTTTTTTATATTAATAAATTCAATATGTTATCGCAACAGCATGAAATTACGAAAAAAGCAAAGTTGAATTAAACTACTACGGCTGCTAAAGTACTGTTCTTCTCTGTAGTATTAATTGGCATCAGTGGAATATCAGTAACAGTACTAACTGTAGTATTTGTAGCAGCAGCAGGTTCAATTTTGGCATTAGGGAAACGTGTTTTTAAATAACAAATAAGACCACCAATGATCAAAAGTAACGCGGGAATACCAATACCCATAGAAAGACCAAGAATCAATGCCAAGTTTGGTTCATCTTCAAATCAATATAAAATATTTTAATATATGTTTAGATAATTAGTTGCTTACCTTCTGAAGGAGGAGTTACTTCTATTGCTGATGTTGTTGTCTCTGTTATTGTCGTTGTTGCTATTGTGGTTGTTGCTATTGTGGTTGTTGCTGTTATGGTTGTTGCTGTTGTTGTTGCTATTGTGGTTGTTGCTGTTATGGTTGTTGTTGTTGCTATTGTGGTTGTTATTGTTGTTGTTCCTATTGTGGTTGTTATTGTTGTTGTTCCTATTGTGGTTGTCGCTGTTGTTGTCGCTATTGTGGTTGTTGCTGTTATGGTTGTTGTTGTCG